GTGCCATCCCAGTAGGGAGGACGCTGCGTAGACCATCTGCACCCAATAGGGAAACAAATGGAATTACATATGGACTAACCCTGAGAAGGGGGAGTGCGCATAAGAAGGTGCTTAGCGGATAGGGAAAGCACGGGTCCACCCAGGGGGGGGGGACTTAACCGTGGCGGAAAAGCATATGGGGATCACCAGCGGGGATCGGCCATAGCAGGCACCTATACCCAAAACGCGGGCTGACCAGCGGGCAGACTTACAACGTAGTGGGCCAGCAAGTGACTCCTCCGCTGAGTCAGTGCTGGGGGCCTCGGAGGAATCTGCAGGGCTCACCGAATGGGGAACTTTACTGACAGACAGGAGGGTGCACATCTCTCCGTGTTAGGGAAAAAGGCACCGCAAGCGTGCTACAACATCTACCGAGTTGTTTCCTCAATCACCAAAGGTCCCTAACACCCTTGAGAAAAAACAGCTCCACTCGCAGATTATAAAACCTTGCAATGTGTTGGGTGTCGCCCAGCCCGCAGCTCTACAATGTCTGTTAAAGAAGCGCCGCGCGCACACGCCCAAGAGGATGCAACGCTCCGAGTGGAGTGCGCACGCACTCCCAGGGGGCGCGGCTGACCTCTGCTCAAATAAGCATATGAAATGGCATCCACAATCCAGTGGGATAAACGTTGTTTAGACACGGCACTTCCCTGCTGCCGTCCGCCATAACAGACAAAGGGCTGCTCAGAAGATCTAAAGTTCTGAGTACGGTCCACATAATGCGCAGAGCGCGAACTGAACAAAGTAAGGACAGGGCTGGGTCTGCCTCCTCCGGGGGCAGCGCTTGCAGGGTTACTACCTGATCTCTAAAGGGAGTGGTAGGAACTTTGGGCACATAACCCGGGCGGGGTCTCAGGATAACGTGAGAAAATCCGGCCCGAATTCCAGGCACGAGTCACTGACCGAAAATGCCTCCAGGTCCCCGACCCTCTTGATGGAGGCCAACGCGACCAGCAGAGCTGTCTTCAGGGACAGAAATCTTAAAGATACTGTATTGAGTGGCTCGAAGGGATCAAATCGCAGGCTCGTGAGATTGAGGGCGAGATCCTAAGAGGGCGTGAGAGGGGGGCAAGTTGGATTAACTGAGTAACCGGATGATGAGGTTATGCTTTCCCACCGTGCCGCCAGCCACCACGTCATGGTGAGCGGAGATGGCGGTAAAGTACACCTTGAGAGTGGAGGGCGGCAGCCTGCTGTCCAGCTTCTCTTGAAGGAAAGAGAGCACAACACTGATCTGGCAAGATCGGGGGTCTTCTCTGCGAGAGACACACCATTCAGTGAATAGACTCCTCTTCAGGGCGTAGGCACGCCTCGTGGAGGGGGCTCTAACCTGAGTGATGGTTGTAACTACCCCGGGCGGCAGGTTACCTAAGTCTTCCTCGCGTCTAGGGACCACACGTGGAGGTTCCAGAGATCGGCGAGGGTGCCAGATGGTGCCTTGTCCCTGAGAAAGTAGGGCCTCTCTCAAAGGGATCTGCCATGGGAGGGCCGTCGCGAGGAGGGAGCTCTGATATCCAGGTCCGGTTGGGCCAGAGGGGCGCAACTAGCAAAACCTGCTCCTCGTCCTCCCTGACCTTGCACAGTAACTGCGCGATCAGGCTCACTGGGGGAAACGCATACTTGCGTATGCCCCGAGGCCAGCTGTGGGCCAGTGCATCCGTGCCGAGAGAGCCCTCAGTCAGGGAGTAAAACAACTGGCAATGAGCGTACTCGGGGGAAGCAACAGATCGATCTGGGTCTCCCCGAACCGCGCCCATATCAGCTGGACAGACTCGGGGTGGAGTCTCCATTCTCCAGAGTGAATCTGCTGCCGTGAGAGCACATCAGCTGCACGGTTGAGCATACCTGGGATGTGAATGGCGCGCAGTGACTACAGCCGCGGGTGACTCCCGAGGAGCAGACGGCGGGCGAGCTGAGACATGCGGCGAGAGCGCATACCCCCCAAGCAGTTGATATACGCTGCTGCCGCCGTACTGTCCGTCCTGACCAGCACGTGTTGCTGCTCCAGCACCGGAGAAAAGCGGCGGAGAGCAAGAAACACTGCCAACAGCTCTAGGCGATTGATATGCCAACGCAGCTGGGCACCTACCCACAGGCCCGCAGCTGCATGCCCGCGACACACGGCTCCCCAGCCTGTGCTGGAAGCATCTGTTGAGACAACAATATGACTGGACGCCTGTCCCAGAGGCACACCGGCCTGCAGGAACGAGGGGTCGTTCCAGGGGCTGAGGGTGCGGCGACACAGCGCAGTAACCGAGACTCGGTGTGTGCCCGCATGCCATGCGCGTCTTGGAACTCGATCTTAAAGCCAGTGCTGAAGTGGTCTCATATGGAGCAATCTGAGCGGCGTGACAGCCCCAGCGGAAGCCATATGACCCAGGAGCCTCTGAAAATATTTCAGTAGGACCACTAATTTGCTGTCGAGCTCCCTCAGACAGTTCAGCAGCAGGCGAGCGCGCTCTTGGAGAGGTGCGCTACCATGGTGACTGAGTCCAGCTCCATTCCGAGAAAAGAGATCCTCTGCACCGGGGCGAGTTTGCTCTTTACCCAGTTGACCTGCAACCCCAATAGGCGGAGATGCCGGAGCACCTCGTCTCTGTGCGCAGTCAATTGCTCCCGAGAGTGGGCTAAAATCAGCCAGTCGTCGAAATAATTGAGTACGCGGATGCCTGCGAACCGCAGGGTCGCTAGGGCACCCTCCGCGAGTTTGGTGAAGACCCGCAAAGACAGAGAGAGCCCAAAGGGGAGGACCTTGTACTGCCATGCCCGACCTTCGAACGCAAACCGCAGAAACTGACGGTGGCGTGGAAGAATGGAGACATGAAAATACGCGTCCTTCAGGTCTATGGCTGCAAACCAATCCTAAGGACGAACGCATCGGAGGATGCGCCTCTGCGTAAGCATTCTGAATGACAGCTTGTGAAGGCAGCGATTCAAAACGCGCAGATCTAGGATTGGCCGTGACCCACCGCTCTTTTTGGGTACGATGAAGTACGGGCTGTAAAACCCGCTCTTGAGCCACCGCGAGGGGCTGGCCCGCGCTAACCAGGCAGGCAGAGCCCTCGCTAATGACGTCATCGCAGCAATCGCTGACGTACCTGCGGAGGGGCAGCGCGGAGCGGGTGTGCTGATCCGGGGAGCGCGAGGGTCCCACAGAAGAGCTGAAGGAGAGCGATTCGCTCTGGCTCCGCACCCTGACTCCGGAAAAGGGGCTTGGGCGCTGGGAGAAGGGGGATCGTCCCCCCAGCACCCGTGAGCCGCTGGCGGAGCATGTAGACCCTAAGAGCTGAGAGGCGGCGCGTCCCAGACTGGCAGGCTTGCAGTGCTCGTGAGCCACTGGCGGAGCGCACCGAACCTGCGAGCTAGAGAGCACAGGGTCTCAGACTAGCAGATTTCGGGCTGTCACATCCGGGGAAGTGAAAAAGTGCCCTTTCATTTCATGGCAGTAAAAGGTGCCGTTGGAAATGGCGCCCCGCCCTCCAGCGGGGAAGAGCAAGTTCCCTCTTCTCCAGATGACCTGTCCCAGGGACACTTCGCGGTCCGTTGCCGGACTTAGCGGCGTTCTGGGCAGGGGGGGCTGCCTGCTTCCGAGGTGCTCGACGCGCTCGCTTTGCCAGAGGCGTGTGCGGGGGCAGTGCAGCTCTCGTAAGCGGGCACCTTCGGCGAGGAGCAGGTATGGATGGCACGGCGGGCGGAGCGGGCTATGGATCCGCCAATAAGACATCACCCATCAGACTGCTCTCTCACTGCCTCGAATTCCTGGGTGAGTTCGCAGACAGTGTCGCCGACCAGCTTGGGATATGGGCGAGTCAAGAAAGCGGACTTTGTCGACTTTGCGAATACCAGCCAAGTTCTAGTCAGGGGTGGCGCTCCTGGATCACTAGTGTGGACATCGTCCTCCCCAAAGCACACGCAGCGGACTCAGCAGTCCGAAGAGCTTAGTCGGCTGCAGTGCGAAGCTCATAAGCCTGGGTTGGACCCACCCTCGTGCAGCTCGGCCAGCGCCTGCGCTTGGTAGCGCTGGTAGGTGGCTATCGCTTGCAAGGCGGAAGCAGCCTGGTCCGTAGCTTTGCAAGTTCTGACTCCGGGGAGCAGAAACTTACAGGCTTTGGATGGGAGACGAGGCGGACCCCACCAAGAAGAGGCGCTGCGCGGACTAACCGCCATAGCGCACTCAACATGAGGAATTGCCACATACCTCCTGGCCGCTCCACCACCAAGAGTGGTGAGGGTGGAGGGACATGCAGCACGAGCAGAAAAAGATTATCTCTCGCTGGAACCCTCAGATCTGCCCGAGTGCCCGCTGCAGAGCAGGAGGCGATTGGGGTGGCTCGCTCTCTTACGAAAGCTAGCCGCGATCTCAACCGCGTGACGGTCATGGCATCGCAGTGACGACATGAACCGCCCCCGAGCACCACATTAACATGCTGGACCCCCAAACAGGTAATGCAGTGATCGTGCCCATCATCTGGAGCCAGGAAACCCCCGCAACCAGAAACGCACAGTCGGAGCGCCGTCCTGAAAAGGACGTGCTGCACGACTGTGTTGCTCTTTTAGCTGCAACAATACGCACCGCTCTGGAGGACCGGACCCAAAGGGACGCCAGGCAAGGGAGAAACCCAGCTCGGCCATCTGCCGCTGCGTGGACTCGCTCCACACCGGGAGACACTCGTTCGCTCGAAGTGGCTGTAGATCAGCAGGAGGAACCCTCATGAACTCGATGAGAAAAGTCTCTGAAGCGAAAAGGATAGCGTTTGCTGGCGCCAGGTGTGCTTATATGCTCAGTTAATTGGCGATGCAGCACACCTGCGCAAGATTGCGCTGCCAATTCATTGCTTTCATTTGCCCGTTCAATACTCTTTCAGACGAGCGGCTTCTGAACCGAATCCGCCCATACGTGGATTTAAAACATCAAATCCACTTATAGTGCTGGAGTTCCCCCCGAAGGGGAACAGCCCGTGAGCGCCAGCACACACACATATCATGTACATCTCGACATGCGAAAGTGTTCCTCTATGTTTTCATTGAAGTTGTTCACGATACTGATCCATCCAGTTTGTTTGTGATGTAGTCAAATGTTTACAACTACAAGCGCAGCCGTTTAGAGCTCATTTCTGGTTAATGATATCAGAATTACTGGTATTTTGGAATGGATGTGTTATTTTCACTTTACAGAATATTTTTCTGCATTTTTCATTAGTGATTTCAATGTGACATGCTTTACTGCAATGTCCTCCAAACAGCACTAGACCCTGTCATTGCTGCTTTGCATATCTTATCCATATAACATAGAAATGTTGGTTTTCTATTTTATAATATATTAGATTTGTGTTGTAGATTCTTGATATCACTTTTCTAAAGAAAAAAAAAAAATCAATTCACTTATATTCTGGATTAATGTGCTATCAAGCCTTTAGTTTTCCAAATCTGCCTTTAGCGTCTGATTAAATCAAACAAAAAGAGCATCATGATTCTGTGCATATGATTACGTGCATCTTACTGACCAGGGGTGCACTGTTTGTCAGAAGAAACATCTTATTATTAATATTGATATCAGGATAAAGTTTACAATGGAAATACTGTAAATGCATTTATACATTTACACAAGTAAATGTAGTAACATTAAAATGATAAAATGGAACTTAACTTCATGAATTTGTTTAGAGTAAATTATTGTCTCTCATGGATCATTATATATATTTATATATTTTTTTTACTTTAACATTGAGTTTTTTGTTTGGTGTTCATTTATTTACTTTTTACCAGTGAACTAAAAAAAGCCTTCACTTGTTGTAATGCTCCTTTGTTTTTCGGCTCTTCTGCAGTTTTCTTCAGCTCCTCCAGCTTCTTCACCTGTTCCTCTTTTCCCTCTTCCTCCTTCAGTCTGGGAATCAGGAAATCCAGATGCTGAAGAGTGAAAGCGCTGTCTGCTTTTAGTGCGATATTACACAGACTCATAATGCTCATATAAGCTTCCTGCAGAAGATTGGATTTCTCAGTAGTAATCTTTTTCAGTTCACTGATCAGTTTATCTTCTATTTCTGTGTTCCTTTCAGACTCTTTCATGTCATTTTCATATTCCTTTTTAGTATTTTCATATTTTTTCTCGTCAAAGTGTGTAACAACTTTTTCTTCAGAGCATTCATACTCCTGTTTAAGCTCATTAAATGACATTTCTGTTTTCACAGTCTCTATCACGTACTTACTTCTCTCCTTGACGTGTTCGCTGTAATGACATTTTCCTGTACACACAGTGCAGTGGTCATTTACCATAACTTCACACTTTAAGAGATTACTTGGAGAGACCCACCAGCAGCGTTTCTCATCATGACAGGTTTCCTCACAGACAGGGCAGCTGGTTGCCAAGTCATTACGCCAAAATTTTGACACCCATATTTTTTCAGTGGGGACCTTTTTTTTGACAACTCTATTGACTGTAAACTGAAAGTTTTCACATTTCTTGATCTTGTCTCTGTTCACTCTAAGAACTTTCTGAATCTCATCCAGTTCATTCATTTTTTTCTCCTTCTCAATGATTCGTTCCTTTAGATTACAGACACAAGCATCAAGTCGTGTTCGCTCCTTCATCACATTTAATGTCAGCTGAACACTTTTTCTGTTCTTCTCTTCCAGGATTGTGAAAAACTCATTGATGCTGTTCTCTCCCATTTCCCAGGCTGACCTGTAAGTGTGTTCATAACGTTTGACTCTCTTCTCTTTCTGTCGGTTGTTGAATAAGAAGTGAACAGGTTCATGGTCTTCATCTCTTCTGCAGGGTATTTCTGCTTTATCAATGGCATTGAGAGCATCTGTTGGTGGTCCTCCATCTGAATAACTGAGCAGAAACACTATGTTGTTCTCGATATCTTTACCAAACAGAGACAGAACTGCGTGAAAGATGTAATGCTCTTTTCCAGAGAGTCGATTCTGAGACGCCTTCATCACAAAACACACTGCATCAATATAGTGAATCCCATCCACATCTGCAAATAATCTTCTCAGATATTCTGCAATCTCTGCATCTTTCTCGAATCCTCGAGTGTCTCCATAACCTGGAGTGTCGATGATGGTCAGAGATGTTGTGTTTTCTTCCACAAACACCTCATAAACTGTGATCTCAGAGGTCTGGGTTTGGGATTGATCTCTCTGTTGTTCTTCTTCAGTGATTTGATAAAACTCTTGATCCTCAAACTTCACTCCTAGTAAATGGTTGACCATGGTGTTGATGATTGTTGTTTTCCCAGCTCCAGTTTCTCCCACAATCAGTATGACTTTATTCTGCTTGTTTGGGTCTCTTTGTCCATATGTCCACTGTCTGACCTTTTTATCAGTCCCATCAATGTATTTTCTTTCCGTGTTCAGCTTGTAAACTGCTGGAGGACCTGGATTAATGAGGGTAGTGTTGCATCGTGTCCTGCAAAAGAGAGTTAATTAAGACATCAAAATGTTTTATAATTAAACTTTTTTATAATTACTATTAACCCAGCGTGTCAAGAGAGTGAATCGTTTATTGTGATTGAATTGTTTTTGACTTATTAGGCTCTATCATACACCCGGCGCAATGTGGCGCAAGGCGCGGCGCAATACTCTTTTACTACTTTTAGCTCGGCGCAAGGGTCGTTTTGAGGTGTTGCGCCACACTGTTTAAATAGCAAATGCATTTGCACTCAAATGTGCGCTTATAGGCGTTCTGGTCTAGAAAAGCAGACGTGTTTTGGCGCGTTGTTATTTTGAGAAACTGTAAATAGTCTGTTATTTAGACCAGAACAAAGTCGGTCTATTGTCTGGCGCAAAGTGCGCCTGGCTTACACACTACACACAAGATGTAGAGCAATACGCAAATATCTTAAAACATATAATATATTAAGTATATATATAATAAGGATATATATATATATATATATATATATATATATATATATATATATATATATATATATATATATATATATATATATATATTATTTTTTTTATGATATAAATATAAATGATTAAAATATTACAAAACATATTAATTTCTAGCCTACATGAATTTAAAAACCACTGCCTTCATACTTTTTTCCTCTCGGGAGGCTTTTTCAGTTCATTTATAACAATTTGCTTTTGTATAATGTTATTATTATTAGCAGTATTATTTATTATATCCATATTTATATTTGTTTCATTAAAAACAAGCTTAGATCCACCTGTCAGGTTTTAGACCATATGGGGCACAGCATGTGTTTTAGGATATGACTCAGTATTTTGACCACACTTGGTTATTATTGTTCATTTATTCGTTTGCTGGAAATTAAAACTGAATTTAGAAAGGGCTTTGAAACAAATATTTGCTCTTAATAAACAAAATTAATTATTTATAGGATAATTGATGTCTGTGCGGGAAGGTTTCCCTATCCACGAGAGCAAAAGCGAAAGTGAACTTACTTTACGTCATGTGCGCTTAAGGTGTGACGCAGCTGACTCTTAAAGGGAATGGGAGATGAGACTCTAATAAGTTTATTCTCAAAACACACCTATAACTCATTAAGAAAATAAACTCAACCCTTTTTAGACCATGCGCCATGGTACAAAGCGGATTTTCCCGTCCTTAAATTAGCAAAAATGCATTCTGACACGCCCTGAAAGCGTTTGCTCCCTGCGTTTAGCGCCCTGCGCATGGACCGTCAAAATAGAGCCCATAGTGTCTTTGCAGTAAAGATCTTTGTAAGTTAATAATTTGTTAACATTCATTCATACATTCATTCATTTTCTTTTCGGCTTAGTCCCTTTAATCTGGGTTCGCCACAGCAGAATGAACCACCAACTTATCCAGCATATGTTTTACGCAGTGGATGCCCTTCTAGGTGCAACCCATCTCTGGGAAACATCCATACACATTCATTCTCCCTTATACACTACAGACAATTTAGCTTCTTCAGTTCCCCTATAGCGCATGTGTTCTGACTGTGGGGGAAACCAGAGCACCGGAGCACAACATGGGGAGGACATGCAAACTCTACACAGAAATGACAACTGACCCAGCCAAGGCTCGAACTAGTGACCTTCTTGCTGTGAGGCGATTGTTCTACCCGCCATGAAACTGTGCTGCCTATTTGTTAACATATCATTTTATTCATTTCAAACACTTGAACACTTGTGCTGACCCTATAAAATAGTAACACTAGTTTTGATAATGTTTGTTTGTGTCAGAAGTGTATATTACTAATTTCTGAAAATAAATAAATCCACTGGAAGGGCATCCGCTGCGTAAAAACTTGCTGGATAAGTTGGTGGTTCATTCTGCTGTGGCCACCCCGGATTAATAAAGAGACTAAGCCGACAAGAAAATGAATGAATGAATAAAGAAATCCACTCATAGGCATTATAACAAGCTGTTTCAGCTCAGATATTAAGCAGTAATATTGGCTAAATATTCTCATGGATTTAAGCTTTTCCAAATAAATAAATAAAAATGCATATGTGAGGAGGCAGTAAAAAAGATTTTCGCATGTCCAAGAGAAATGTTCCTGCCTATTATTGTGTTCTATAGCCCAAATGAAAAAACCCACTTTAGATGTTCATACAGGGCTCAAAATGAATGTTTTTGTTTGGTAGCACTAGCGATACCAACTTCAAAAATGTAGGAGTACCAGCCAAAATTTAGGTGTAACCACCACAAATGAAGAACACCACCATGACAAATTGTATAGTAGCATATTTATTGCATTTGAAATCAACAAGTCAAAACTTAAAACGAAAACAAAATGCATCCATCAGTCCTGCATGCACTGCTTGACATGAATGAGATGAACGGAGCCAATGATAATTGAACTGCTTTGTTCTCACAGGTGGTTAGATAATATTGACATTTAACTTATTATTTGCATGCATCATGTTAACCACAATGAGAGTCTTTCATGAGCTGCTATATTAGTTTAATTTTAGTGAAGTCAAGCCCTTTTGCGATGGTGTACACAATATTACATTTGAAATTTGCTGCCACTTGCACGCTGACAGCATCTTGGGCCCAGTTTTACAAAACAAAAAATAAAAATCTGGATTAAATTGGTCCAGATTTGGAAATCCCATGCTTTACTATACAGGAATAACTGATCTATCTTACTTTTATAACTTAAAAATAAATAAATAAATAAATAAACATTGGTTTGGATCATTGTGATTTAAATACCAATCTTTGGGATTACTAAATCCTGTTTACCAGAGCCTTAAATAGAACCAACAATGTAGCCTACTGGCTTAGTAAAGAACAACAGGTAGACAAAATACCAGTGCCCACAATCAGATATTGTTTGTTTTAATGGTGAGAAATAAAAATACCAATACAATACAAAACAATACAAATGTTTTTTTTGTTTTTGTTTTGTTCCAATGTCGAATAACAAAAGAAAAACAATACAGCTTTAATATTGTTTCGCTGTTGTTGCTTACCATATCTGATTAGATGTGACATGCTTCAAATAGGCTTCAAAGATGAAGATATATATATATATATATTAGTGATGTCAATCGATTAAAAAAATTAACTAATTAATCGCACCTTTTAAAAAAAATTAATCATGATTAATTGCGATTAATCGCATCTAAAATACTGAAACTTGTAATTTTGGCTATTCAAATGTAAAATTAATGTAAATGTAAGACAAAAGCTATTTAACTTCAAAATATCCTTTTTTATTAGAATTAAAATTCAAAATATAAATGTTTTTGTTAGAATTATATATATATATATATATATATATATATATATATATATATATATATATATATATATATATATATATATATATATATATTGTTAGAATTTTTGTTTTAACTTGTAACACAGATTTCTTCATGTAAACAACATACCCACAATAAACCATCAAGATCCTGGCCTGACAGCCATATTTATTACAGAAATTAAAACACAGGCATGTTAATGACATTTAAATTTCAAAACAATCAATGCCAATAAAGAAAACATTGATTTCCATGTTGGATTTTAAGTGGACTGCAAAAAAATGCCAAAATACAGGAATTGCAGATATGGAAAATGAACAATTATAATAATAAACTATAGAATACAAACTGTTGCACTCATTGTAAAGTTTTATTCCTGTGAGTTGAGAACATTAGTTATAGAGTAGAAACAATTTTGCTTAATCCTCCTTTACATTCATCCAGTTGCTAAGACTACACTGTAAAAAATTTGACCTTAAATTCACAGTAAATTACTGGCTAATAATTGCATTACTTTCACAGTAAATTACTGTATGTAAATTCACAGTAAATTATTGTGAGGTAGTTCACAGTAATTTACTGTGGTTTTGTCACATTAAATTATTGTGAAATTACAACCATATATTGTAACTTTACAGTAGATAATAAAGTCCGTTACTGTGATTTCACAGTATTATCTTGTAGAATTAACTATATTTTACTGTGAATTTGCAAAACGATTACTGTGATTTAGCAGTAGGTTGCAGTTTAAATACCTGATTTAACTGCAAAGTTACAGTTATATCCCGGATTACTGTAATTTAACAGTTTGGTGCTGTAAAATTTCAAAGCAATTTTAGGTCACACAAAAATGAAAATTCTATCTTGATTTACTCACCCTCAGGTTGTTCCAGCTCTGTTAAAAGTGATTTTTTTTTGTTAAACACAGGAATAAAAATATCAAATATTCCTCTTTGTGTCCAAACAACCTGAGGATGCGTACATGACGACAGAATCTTCATTTTTGGGTGATCTGAAAAGACTCTAAAATCAAAATAAAAACAAACACACATACATTTTACAGATTTATTTAACAGCTTAATGACATCTGTGTAAACATTTCAGAAAACTTTCAAAAGGTGAAGGTGAAGCCTCAAAAAATACTATAAGAACATAAGAACAAAAAAATCTGACATCATATGTAGCATACATATAAAAAGCAGTGCTTCAGAGTGCGCTCTCTCTCTCTCTCATTATATATATATATATATATATATATATATATATATATATATATATATATATATATATATATATATATATATATATACACACACACACACACACACACACATGAGAGAGAGAGACAAAACTTCTTGCTAAATTAGGCAGTCGTCTATTCAAGGTCAATCATTTTCCTGATAATTTTACACACTTGCTGGTTGATGTGTCTTCTCTGCTTCTTTGACTTCGTCTGTTCTCCATCTCCAAACTGGTGCCCAAAAAGCACCTATAAGCAAAAGGGCAGACAAACAGTTAGCTTCATACAACACTACTGGGACACTACTGCTGCACTAGAGAGCAAAATTACTGTTAGCTCAGTTTGAACATGCTGACAATACTGTAGCTCAGTCAAACTGCAATCATTTAAACAAAAACATCTGAAAAGCATTTCCATCGCAAACACACAATCAAGAACAGTCCAACAACAAATAG